AATAAATAATACTACTCTACTATTGGTATGTCAAGCCATATAATTTAAGGGATAAATTAATGCACTAAAGACACAAATATTAATTATATACAGAAGTTTAATATGTGATTACAAGTATCTTTTTCGTTATTAGCAGAAAAGAATTTAACTAACAAAGTATTTACATTTAAGTTACTCTAATATAATATGTAGTCAATGAGAAAGAGAAAATACAATTCTCACTCTTCATTGGTTATATACATGTATACAATTCTAGGACTATATCTTCAGAAACCCTTTCTTTTTTTTCATTACTTACTTATTAGCTATCACATGCTTTCTTAATTGATTGTTTAATTCCTAACAATAGCTCCTAAATTGTATCAACACTCTATGATTTTAATAGGATTCAATAATAATACTTTGTAGTAACAATTTGATTATTATTGTTTCATTGCTTAATAATATTTAATACAAGTAGTAATGTAAAATAAAAATCCCAATTGTTAAAATAATATGCAAAGGTACATTTGGTGCAAATAAATATGTATTCTAATATATGTTAAAATTTTCTGCTAATACGAATTTGAAATTTGAATTTGAAATACAATACATTTCTACCCTACGATTCAAAAAACATATTTTTATAATGTATAATTTCATATGCACTAAGCAATGAAGGCCGTGCAATAATTTTCACATACTCATTTGCATACAAGCTAATTAATTTGAAATTACTAAATGATCTAAAATACAATCATGGAGTATAAACTGCGATAACATGCTTTCTAATTTGTTGTACAGAAATTATTAACTATCATTTACATTCTTTATATAAAAAAGATTACAGACAAAAATAATAATAACACAACTTCTTTGTTATATTAAAAAAATTTATAACTTATACATATAATAATTTATAGCAATTAACGTGCATTTTGTACGTAATTAACTCCTGATATATATATTGTTCATGATAACAGTCGTTTACAAAATAGAACATCTAAAAAAAAAACAAAAAAAAAAAAGTATAAAATAATTCAAAACGTGATGCAGTTTATCTAAAAATGTTTTATATAAGACAAGATTCAGTAGTTTCATTTATATAAAAATGCATGTTAATAGCATGTAGCATTACTCCATTTAAAACTTTGTTGGTTTGTTCCAACTAATATAGCAAGTAATCTGTAACATTCGTTTAAAGAAAGATGATATTTTCTATAAAAACAATAATATGCAAGTAATTATTTCATATTTTCAACATATACTTCACCTAGCTGTATTTTAAATTTGAACTGTACAGTTAACTTGAAAGAAATTGTATCAAAATATTAAAATACAACTAATAAGAAATACGAAAATGGAAAATTTTGGACACTTAAGACTATTATTGTCGCATATTGTTTTTCTGCAAGGATGTATGAAATTTAAATTTGTTAATAAAAGTCTTGATTTTATAGAATGTAAACATATCTTTACCTAAAAATCTTACATTAAAGCTTTAGTCACGATAACATATATAAAAGTATAAAAGGATTTATTTGCAGTATTGTTTTGCATGGGTATCAGTTATTGGACCTTTTTC